CCTTAGACCAGTGCTTTCCAAGGTAGGGTCTACAGCCTAGAACTGGTCCTTGTAAAAAAAATACTGGTCTTTAGACAATATGCAAAGAATTGCTCTCTTTCTCTCCAACCAGCCCAGATCTTGCCAGCTCTTTGGCCAGATAGGAAGAGGAAAACTTTCTTCTGAAGCTTTTGGCTGGCTCACCGGCCTTCGGGCAACTTACGCCTTCCCAAACTTACTTTATGCATCTGCGAAAAGCGGCCTGCCCTTTCCCATCTGCCCATGTCCTTATGAATACAGCCAAAGATCAGCGATCGAGAAAGACTAAAACAAGAAAATAAAATCAATAAAGTAGCTCCTGATTGGAAGACTTGCCTCTTTGTATACTAAGGTTGTTTTGTGCACCAATTGAGCCCTTTCCTGGACCATGTCTTGTTCACAGTCACTCATGCCTTAGTCACCTCTTGGTTGGATTACTGCAGCATGCTCTACTTGGGGCTGCCCTTGAAGACCTCCCAGAAATTACAACAGATCCAGCATGCAGCCACCTGCACACTTTGGGTGCTTCGTGACTTGCCCATCTTCCGCTGCTGTTGCACAAGCTACATTGCAGTCCAGTTCCTTTCTGCGTGCAATTCAAGGTGTGGGTTATGACCTTTAAAGCCTAGAGTGGCACAGGACCAGGTTATCTGCAGGGCTGTCTCTCCCTGAGGGCATCTGCCCGTCCCACCAGGTCAGATAGGGCAGGGGCACTCCAGGTCTCTTCCCTCAAATGCTTCCCTTGGGTGGGATCTCGGGGGGGCACCTTTTCCATGGCTGCCTCCCCCTCCCCCTTGAGATTCAGAGGGCCCCACTCTACTAGCCTTCTAGAGGACCGTGAAGACCTGGCTCTTCACCCAGTCTTAGGTGGAAGTGAGCCCCCCAAATGTAACTGTAAGTGGGCTGTGTTGTTGTGGCACAGTGGTGGCAAGTGTGTGTGTGTGGGGGGGTTGTTTTTATGGAAAGTTATCATGAGTTGCCTAGGAGTATCCTATATAAAATAGGCTAGCAATATAAGTTTTCTCAAAGAATAAATAACTGTTGCCGTGTTTTCACTGCAGCCACACAAAAGCTGGCAGTGGTGTTGGGGAAAGTACGGTTGGAGTCTGAGAGCAGAAACCTGGCATCATATTCTTCGGTCCTTCCTGGGAGGTGTTGCTGTAAAGGTAACATGCCATCCTGGCATGGATCCTTAGAGAAATGGAAGTGAAATAACAGACGCTGGGCATTTTTCTCTTTCCCCAGAGTGACACAGACAGGTTCATTCTGTTTGTGGAATTTTGGTAAATCTGCCCCATAATAATGCTGATATTATATTTTATATATTTGGGGGCCACAAAAGGGAAAAAAGGTATGGAAAAAGCAAACGTCCCCAGTTATATAAAGTTCAGGAAACTTTGCCTCAGAGGAAGGTGCTGGTCTATACCTCACTGACTTGCCAACATGATGTTGAATGTTACATTTATAAAATTTAAGAAAATTTCCTTTTCCGTTGTTTTCCTGTTTTATTCTGTTTTTACCTTGATGAACATTCATTCATTCATTCATTGTCCTATAGCATAAAAATTAGGATGGGATACAACATCATTCCATCCATCCATCCATCCATCTTCTATCCATCATCTATCTATCTATCTATCTATCTATCTATCTATCTATCTATCTATCATCAACTATCTAGCCCAGGTTCTTAGGAGGACAGAATCTGATGAAGAGGCTGTGGGCTCCATCTTGAGTTCCTTGGGGAAAAGGCAGGATACTTCTATAAACTAGCAAACCAAAAACTTGAAGTGATTCAAATGTTCATGCAGATTTTGAAATGACCCCAAGCTCTCTAACCAGAAGAGCAGCTGCAGGGGTGTCTGCAAGGATGCGGTGTGTGTGTGTGTGTGTGTGTGTGTGTGTGTCTGTCTAAAAAGCGAAGATGGTGGGCATAACCCTGCAACTGAAGCTCCACCATTGTTTATGTGGAACCACGACAGAAAAAGGGGTGTGGCTTCAATTGCTGAATTGCAGCCGACATCTTGCTTTTTTTGACACCCCCCGTGTGTCCAAACCCTCGGAGAAAAGATCCCTGGGTCCCATTCAAGCCAGGCTGTGGGGAATTCCTTGCCTTCTTCATTGTTCCTGGCCCATCCCCTTGCAGCACACTCGCCCTTTCTCTCTCACACTCCTGTGCACACATTGTTCACAGCAACCTGAAAATAAAGATCCGCTCCCAAGAGTTCGGCTTGCAAATATTTATTATTTTTATTATCACCCACTCCTCCACGGCAAGCCCAGAAGCCTTGGGGTTGTCAACTTCACCCTGCCTCCCCACCCCAATCCAGTGCCTGGCAGCTGCTTCGGACTCCAATTCCCATCCTCCCAATGAGGGATGCTGGCTTTGGTGGACGGGCAAGGCCTGGGGATGCAAGCATCCTTCCAGCTGCCGTATCCTCACAACAGCCAGATGAGGTAGGCTTGCTGAGAGAAAAAGAGAGAGAACAGCCAGCAAGTCCCAGGGCTAAAGAGCGATTCCAACCTTGTTTTGAAGCTTCGTGGCCGGGGTGAGGGTGGGGTGGCAGAAATGACGAATAGCAGGGGACCCTCCATCCATATCGGGCAAAAGGCTCTGGAAGGAACCCCTGGCGGGAAAGCGGAGGCGAGCAAGAGGACGGCTAACTCCGTCTTTAAAGGGACGAGGACCTTTTGCTCCGACTCCCTAACCACTAGACCACCTTGCCTCCTGCCTCCTTCTCCCGCCTCTGATCGCCGTCTAGGCACGGCGAGCCGAACCGAGGCAAAAGCCGGCTTGCACGCGTGCGTGCGTGTGCGCGCGCGCGGGTGGTG